TTATTATTACCTTTATTATTTTTATAACTATATTATAATTACTATGAATTGTGCTGTACCTGTTTTAAATGTGCCTATTTGTATTGGGTAACTTTTTTTTGCCCATTTCTCAAGTATTAAATCAGAATACATGCAGAGACATACAGACCCACAGCACTGCATTTCAAACCAAACACACAAATACACAGACTTTCAAATTGTGCCTGTTTAGAATGGATGAATTTCTTGACCAAACTTCCTATAGCCCCAGTTCTGGAGATCAGATGCAGACACACACATATACACTACAATGTAGCATTGTGTAACAAAGGCAAACTCAACACAGATTTTCAAGATTTGCCTATTCAGGTTGGGTAAATTAATGTGGCTAACTTCATACATTTGTTTTTTAAAGTTATTGATATACATGTGCCCCCTCCCCCCACCTCCCCACCTCATTCACACACAAAAAAAAACAGACAGGCAAATAGACTATTAATATTATTATTATGATTATTATTATTATTATTATTATTATCATCATCATCATCATCATCATCATCATCATCATCATCATTATTATCATTATTTACTACTATAGCTATAGATATAATTAGTACTGTTATTGTATTGTCATTCTAATTATTGTTATTATTATAATTCTCACCACCTCAGATTAATATTATTAACTTCATACCCCCTCCATCTTCTTCTTCTTCTTCTTCCTCTCCTCCTCCTCCTCCTCCTCCTCCTCCTCCTCCTCCTCCTTTTTCATCTTCCTCAGGTGATTTGGTCCCGCCTGCGAGACCCCAAAGACGCCTACAAGCTCGACATCCCTGCAGTGCTCATGAGTGGCATTGCTGAGTGGGCTGCCTGAAGGATCTGACTCTGTTGTGTGCTCTTGTGCTTTGGGTGCGCAGAACACTATTCAAGAGGCTGTTGGAGGCCGTTGGTGAGTTGGTTCAGGACTCGCACAGTTTTGGTTTAGAGGTTGAATCCCATTTTCTTCTAGTTCTTTACTCAGTTTTGGATTTCTTCTTGGATTATTACTTGTATCATTATTAAAGTTATTATTATTATTATTATGATTAATATCATTAATATTGTTTGTTTGTTTTATTATTATTATTATTAAAAATATATAATAATTGCTGATCAAGTGCATGTCCAAAATCAATACCAGTTTAAGACTTATGCTCTACCTATCCCTTTTTTTCATCTGAAGGTAGAGCAGGAGATATCAGACAAGAACCAAAATGGCTGGAACAGAGAGGCTGGAGAATGTCAACCCCCACATCTTTGCCAAGGCCGGGGAGAGGCTAGCGAGCCCAACCGACTGGGACGACGGCGTGTACGATCCGTTTGATTCCCGCGAGATCTTTGACTTGATCAGGAATATTCGTGACCCGGAGCATCCCCTGACCCTGGAGGAACTCAATGTGGTAAGTGTATGTTAGTTATTGGGATATTGATATTATTATTATTTCTATTTCTATTACTGTTGCCATTCCTGTTACTGTTATTAATACAGGACCTGCTCAGCCATTAAAACATTGTAAGATTCCCTCCCCCCCTATACTGTTCCTCTTTTACTGCTATATTTTTATCCCTCCTTTCCTTCTCACCCCAAAGGTAGAGGAGAGTCAGTGTGAAGTAAGTGACGTGGAGAACTTCGTGATGGTCCACTTCACGCCCACAATCCCTCACTGCAGCATGGCCTCTCTTATTGGCCTCAGCATACGACTCAAACTTCTCCACGCATTGCCTGCAAGGTATTGATGCAAGATCTAATTTCTCGGTCTTTTTATTTCTGATGATATGGCTTTTTTTTTCTTGTTTTCATGTTTTTTGTTCCCTCCTAGCTTGATGGTTGCTGGGTTGTTCAGGTGGTGGTGGTGTTTTTTTTTTTTTTTTTTTTTTTTCTTTTTTTTCTTTCTTTTTTCTTTTTTCTTTTTCTTTTTTCTTTTTTCTTTTTCTTTTTTTTTTGTCCTAGGTGCATAAGTAATATAGTTATATTTATTCCTTTAGGACAGGGAATAGGTTAACAAAGTGTATATGATTTCATGTATGCAGAAAAATTGCTTCATTCCTAATCTGGCCATATCCTGGGCATATTCCTAATTAGTATTTCCTTCAAGTTTTTTCCTCTTTCATTCTAGTTTCTTTAATATATTACTTCACTTCGTTGTCTTATAACAAGGACCTTTTATTATATCTTCCATTCAAAGGTTTAAAGTAGATGTCCGCATTTCACCGGGAACCCACGCATCAGAACACGCCATCAACAAGCAGCTCAACGACAAGGAGCGTGTGGCCGCAGCTTTGGAAAACTCACACCTTCTAGAAGTCATCAACAAGTGCTTGAATCCACGTTGATAAATGCACCGTTGATTGTTATGCTGAGAAGGAAATTGAGGAAAGGCAGTGGTTGACACAGAAAGCCTATAATACTCTTCTTTTTTTTTTTCTTGTGTTTTAATGTGATTTGTTTTAGATTATGAATTATTGTAATGTTAAGAAATGAGTTGATTTCTTTGGAGGCAAGTGGAGTGAAGATTTCAGTTGAAGTTTCTGTAAAAGGAAAGTTGCTTAGCTTTATCTTCTGCTTCCTCTTTTACCATCTTTTCCTCCTTCCCCTTCACCCTTTATACCATCTTGCTATCTTCTTTTTTTAAGTTCTCAGTATAAAGGGTAATCTTGAATTTTACGATGTGACAATGTTGTAGCCTTTGTGTCTGATCAAATGTATTTATTTTTGGTTTTAACTCTGTGTGTTACATCTGTTGTGGTATTTCGGTTTAACTTTGAAGAAAAACAGTGAAGTAAATTGTTGACCATTTCTAGTTCTATGATTCTTTAAAGCTAGAAAAAAAAATCTTTAATTGATCTGAATTAATTTCATGTAAATAATTGTGTTAATTTTATATTCATTACCAAGCCATGACTAAAAAAGGAGAATGCTGAAGACAATTAGAAAAGGAAATTCAAGAATTTAAATCCTAGCATCACATAAAGTTGACGATTTTGATTTTGTTTTGGTTTATTTTAGTCAATGAAGTTCAACTGATTAATGCACAGATGACCAGCAAATGCAGTAAAAGGTCTTACATTTCTCTGCTGTATATACACTTAGTAATTTATATATTCCTGTGCATACCTCAATGAAAGGCTTGAATCTACTGGAACTGCCATCAGTAAAAAAAACGATTTTGTGAAGAAATGTTTTTTTTTGCTTATATTTCAAAGTGAAGTATTAAGTATTCTGTATTATTATGCTAGAGAATATCAGGAACTACATTACCTATGCATACTGTATTAGATATATTATAAAGTCTGTATTATGTCAGTAGTGTATCTTGCTGGCCAAAACTCCATTCATACATTTTGAAATCTGGCATAAACTATTAAATTTTTATATCAGAAATTTTCCATGAAAGTAATGCAATATAAATACATCATGTAAAATTCACTTTTAAAACCATCCCTTTCAGTCTGCCAATATCAAGAGAGAGAAAAGAGAAAGGGAGACCCATCCTACTGTATCTTTACTTAAAAGGAAGCATTTAATCAAATAATGATTTGAAATATAATTTAAGTTTACATTTAATTATAGTTTTGCTTAAAATTTAAGTTGGAGTTAAAATAAGTTTTTACCAGCACTTTCTCAACTGAACTTCGTATTTCTATACATTATATACTAGGTATATATTTTACTAACAGGTAATGCTGTACATACAATACATTCTGAACACTACATTTTATGCTACACTGATATATATATATAATAAATACATTTAACTTTCTACACCTATCTTCTATATAGTATACTTTGTGAATACTATACATACTTTAATAATACTATACATCATTATAAATCACTCTTACATATTCTGTCCTTTACTAATGCCCTTTGGATTAAGTAATACTACTGCTATATTTTCTGTACTAAACAAATACCAAATTACACATACTATGCATAGTTTTTCATGAACTAAAGAAGAAATATTAATGCAGTATAAAATCTTTGTTAAGGAAACTGTATATAATACCACACTTTTTTTTCCATGTGTGTGTTTCTGCAGAGGCAGTTATTTATGGCAGATCTGTCAACTTTCTTTCTAGCCATGTTTTGATGCCAGCTGTATTAGTTGGGAGTTTTGATGTTTGATATTAAAGATGAGGAAAGATTTGATTTAATGAAAATTAGGATGGTGGAAAACATACACGTGCTTACACATACACATTTACAAATACATGTATGGAGCATATGACTCTTTGTTCATTATTACCATTTCTAAAAAAGACAGTTAAATTTACTCTCACATGGTTCTTTTAGGTACCATGAAGATATATGCCATAATAGCATAAATTATCACTTAATAGTGATATTTGCAAAAAAAAAACTATGTAGTGCAAGATTTATATATATACATAGACTATATAAAAGACTATTTTTGGAGCATGGAAGGATGTCTTTCAATGTGCTTGTCAAAAACTTCAATTTTGTAAATTAAGAAACATTCTAAATTGTTACCTCCCATGTTCCATTAAATTATTTTTCTCAGCATTTTGTGTTTCTTTGTCCTGTAGCCCCATAAATGATATATGACCAGTCACTTTTAACTTATTTGTAAGTGAGAAAACTTTAAAGGTAAAACTACTTACAAACCTTCTCTCTAATGCAAGCATCAGGAAAAGTCATGTGTCATAAACAGTAAATGCAAAATATCTTTTCGAGGTTAGAGAACGAATGTGTAATGCAAAGGAGAGAGAGAACGAATGTGTAATGAACAGGAGAGAGAGAACGAATGTGTAATGAACAGGAGAGAGAGAATGAATGTGTAATGCAAAGGAGAGAGAACGAATGTGTAATGCAAAGGAGAGAGAGAACGAATGTGTAATGAACAGGAGAGAGAGAACGAATGTGTAATGAACAGGAGAGAGAGAACGAATGTGTAATGCAAAGGAGAGAGAGAACGAATGTGTAATGAACAGGAGAGAGAATGAATGTGTAATGCAAA